ATGCTGGCTTAGGACTTTCCAGTCATGCCTCCATCATCCATGCTGGGTTAGGACTTTCCAGTCATGCCTCCATCATCCATGCTGGCTTAGGACTTTCCAGTCATGCCTCCATCATCCATGCTGGCTTAGGACTTTCCAGTCATGCCTCCATCATCCATGCTGGGTTAGGACTTTCCAGTCATGCCTCCATCATCCATGCTGGGTTAGGATTTTCCAGTCATGCCTCCATCATCCATGCTGGGTTAGGACTTTCCAGTCATGCCTCCATCATCCATGCTGGGTTAGGATTTTCCAGTCATGCCTCCATCATCCATGCTGGGTTAGGACTTTCCAGTCATGCCTCCATCATCCATGCTGGGTTAGGACTTTCCAGTGATGTCTCCATCATCCACGCTGGGTTAGGTGCAGAGGAAGGTGTTAAAATGGGGCATTGGTGGCCACTGTCAAGTCACAGGACTCCCATATGTGGTTTCCTGAGGAGGTTGGGTTCTAATCGGCACACCTCACTCTTTTGTACAGAATACATTTCTACAAAAATCGAGTTAAGGGACAGTTATGAAATTGAGTTAAGGACCGTTTCCCGGATCTAAGCCCCGAATTTCCCGTGTACTCCTTCCTGCGTGCTGTCATCCGCCTCCAGGAGCTCACACGGTGCGCCCTGGCTCCCAGCGTCCAGTGTCACCCGCCTTTCATTCGTAAGCTACGTCCTGGCCGTCCTCATCCTGGCTCCTCCACACGCACTGCTCCCCCTGCCTGTCTGGGATTCTTTCTTCATTTGACCCATCTATTACTGCTGTATCCCAAAGCTTGCGCTTCGGGCCGCTAAGGGGGCCCTTTGGGTCTAGAACACCCTCGGCTGCTTTCACCGTGTTCCCCGCAGCCTGGGGCATGTGTGATTGATCGTGCAGCCCGTGGTTCCCGTCTGTCTTTTCCCTGCGTCCAAATTCCTGAAGGTGAGGGTATTACTGAGTCCAGCCCCGCATCTGGTGACAGAAGCCCCAGATGCTGGCAGAACTGGGGACTGCTCAGCAAAGAGACAACACTGGGTATAAGTGTCACAACGTCCTGGCTCATCTCAGAAAACGAAAGGTGGCTGTGGCCACTTCGGTCCAATTAGCTGTGTGTGGATGTGCGGGCTGGGGCACACAGGGGTGAATGGTTGCGTATCGAATGCGTACGAAGTTCTCAGACATCCGAAAGGGGGGGGTCTTGTTTAGTAGTAAAGACGACAGCTGAGACAAAGAGAGGACGCTGAGCACTGTTGTCAGTAGCCCGAGGAGTTTTTCCCTTAGGGACCCAGATTCAGGTAAAGGTGACTTCTGGGCTATGTCACAGAAAGGCATTGCAGGGTGAGTCAGGAAGGGGGCAAAGCTGTGACTTTACCAGGTAGAGATATGGAAATATCACATATTAGAGGTATGGAAATATCACAGACAGAGAGGTATGATGTATCACATGGATAGAGATATGGAATATCATACACACACACACACATGAGTAGAGATATGGAATTATAATATAGGTAGAGATATGTAATTTCACACAAGTAGAGACATGGATATCACACGGGTAGAGAGATATATGGAATATCACAAGCTCCAGACTTCAGCATGGACACTTAGACAGGGGCTTACGAGGAGGAGAGTGCACATTCCCAAGACAGAGCAGATCTCTCAAAAGAAAATCGCACTAGAATGTTTTTACTTAGATGTTTTTACCATGGCTGCAGAGAGGGCTTTGTGTCTTTCTTTTGCTTTTGTTGTTTTCATTAGAGACTGAGTCTTGCTCTGTAATTCTGGCTGACCTGGAACTCACTATGTAGGCCAAGCTGCCCACAAACTCATGGCAATTCTCCTGCTTCAGTCTCCCAAGTGCTAGGCTTATAGGACTGAGCCACAATGCCTGGCCCAATTCCGGGTCTAAGTCACATTGCCTGAAGAATACAATTTATAGCAAAGTTTTAAAATTAAGCAATGTTATAAAAATTCAAGTTAAAAAGCTATTGTAAAACACCTGGGCGGTTTATGATTCTTATCTTAAAGAATTTATTTTGTGAATGAAATTGTAAGATGGTTTCACGAGATGCATTATTTGGACTTGCTGAAAAAATTGAGTGCAAATATATAGTTAAACTCAGAGACACAAGCCTTATGGACCTAAGTGAGCATAGTTTTGCTGTTTTGAATATCTTCTAATTTTTAAAAGGTTTACGGGAGTTTTGTCTGCATGTATGTATGTGTAGCACACAGGTGCAGAGCCTGCAGAGACCAGAGATGGCGTTGGGTCCCCGGGGGTTGCCGATGGTCTGAGCTGCTGTGTGAGTGCTGGGAGTACTCTCACCCACTGCGCCTCCTCTCCAGCCCTGTCTAGGTTTCTTCGTTTTATTAGGTTCCTCTCCTCTAGAAAACCAAGCCTGTCTCTGTAGACAGTTTGAGCTTTATCAGTTATCTTGAAGTTTCTTGACTCCTGCTGTAGGAAACACAAACTAGACCCCAGAATTTGGGGAGGGAGGGAAGGAGCTTTCCTTTGTTTCGTCTCTTAATTCTTCCTGTCTTTTGAGCCTGCCTCAAACTGATAACCCATAGATCTAAGACCCTAACACAATGGAGCAATTAGCTGAGCTGCAGGGAGTTTGTGAAGGGCGGAGATAACAGCAGAGTGTGGGAATGAAGAGCCCAGGGACTGGCTGATATCCAGGTGTGGCCAGCCGTTTATTTTGTTCACTGATTAGGCACCAGGAACCGTGTTCCGCACTGACTATAACAGCCTAGCAGGACTGGTTTCCTGTCTTGCTTTTACTAACAGAGTCGATGGCAGTCACGACCGAGCTAAGGGATGATCCCATCAGAACACTCGGGAAAGAAAGTGCCATCCTTCCCCTGGTGGCTTTGAAGAGGAAAAAACCTTTGTCTTAGGTCTTAAAGGATGTGGGGGAAAAAGTTACCATAGAAACAAGAGAGGCTCATGCTCAGCTTGTGTGTGAGGAGGATGGACATGCAGACATCGAGGTATAAAAGAGAGCCTGCTCCCCAAACACTGCTATTGGAGGGGCAGAGCAAAGGAAACACAGGCGAGCATCAGAGCGAGTGCCTTGCTCTAACTACAGAATATGCAGAGAGAAGAGAGAGGAGAGAGACAGAGAGAGACAGAGAGAGAGGAGAGTGAGGAGAGAAGAGAGGAGAGAGAGGAGAGAGAGGAGAGGAGAGAAGAGGAGAGGAGAGGAGAGAGAGACAGAGAGAGGAGAGAGAGACAGAGAGAGGAGAGACAGAGAGAGAGGAGAGAGGGGAGAGAGAGACAGAGAGAGAGAGAGAGGAGAGAGAGGAGAGACAGAGAGAGGAGAGACAGAGAGAGAGGAGAGAGAGGAGAGAGAGACAGAGAGAGAGAGGAGAGAGAGACAGAGAGAGGAGAGAGACAGAGAGAGGAGAGAGAGACAGAGAGAGGAGAGACAGAGAGAGAGAGGAGAGAGAGACAGAGAGAGAGAGGAGAGGAGAGGAGAGGAGAGGAGAGGAGAGGAGAGGAGAGGAGAGGAGAGGAGAGGAGAGGAGAGGAGAGAGCTGCCTGTTTGCAAGCCTAGACCTGTCATCCATCCACCTACCCCTTCCTTCATCAAGACCTGGTCCTGTCCCTCTGCCTCCGCAGCTGGATTCAGCCATAGGGTTTCCCTTGCAAACCTGTGCCCACGTCACCTGACTCACAACAGCAGCCGTTTCTCCGTCTTGGTTAGGGTCACTGTCTTGTCAGCAAGGGGAGTCACCCATCCCTTTTGGTTTTGGTGATCTGGCCCACAAGGCCTCTTGGGAACTCCTGACCTCTTTAGCCCTGTGTGGTCACTCTGTAACTACCAACACACACACACACACACACACACACACACACACACACACACACACACTCTCTCTCGTGCTGGAGCACATGCACACATACAAAGACAGAGAGAGGAGAGAGACTTAACGGTGTGATGTTCTAACGTGCGATCTGAGAATTAATATTGCTAATTAAGATAAGAATGAAAAGATCTGGGTTGTTCCCCTTTGTCCGCAGTTATCAAGGAAAATGGGGATATTTCGCAAATTGCTGCCACTGGGACCACCTTGTTTTGTGAATTTATTAGCATTTAATAGAGTCTGACACCGTGGAAGGCTGCAAACCTGTTTCTGACCGCATGTGGAAAAGAGTTCCTAGCACTAGGAAGTAAGTCTTAGAGCAGCACTGAAGATCGCTGGGGCCTTCTACTTTGCCTTTCAATTAAAAAGCCCAGGGTGGTGCTGTGAAAATGGGGTACGATGAGCCGCAGAGCGTACGTTGCTCTGGCTAGGAGTGAAGAGCTATCACATAATGCTAAGGATGTAAATGACAGGCTGGAGAGATAGCTCAAAGATTAAGAGCGGTGGGTGCTCTTCCAAAGGTCCAGAGTTCAATTCCCAGCAACCACATGGTGGCTCACAACCATCTGTAATGAGATCTGGTGCCCTCCTCTGGTGTTCAGACATATATGCAGGCAGAATACCGTATATGTAATAAATAAGTATTAAAAAAAGAGAGAGAGAGAGTGCTAATGGAAAATCTTTCCTGCAAGCACTAGGTTTTGTTGCTTTTGAGACAGTCCCGTAGCCCGGACTGCCCTGGAACTCACTAGGCAGCTGGAAGAGGATTCTCTTGAACCTCTGAACCTCTTGCACACTGGGGTAATAGCTGGACACTACCATATCTGCTTCAGGCAGTGTTGGGACCCAGCTGAGCTACATCCCATTTCCGTACTCAGATAAGCTAGGCTGTTGGTGGCCACCAGGTGATTTAACCTAGTGATTGGCAGCTATCAGTACCCTCCTTTGTATGTGGCTGCTTTGAGAGCTGGCTGGCAATAAAACACCCTCTCCTTTGACAGCCAGCTTCACCACCATCATGTCAGCCCGCTGCTTTTAACACTTCATAGATGCCTTGAGGACACTATACTCCAACTTAGCGGGGTCCTATGTCAGTGAAAGAAAACAGCTCTCTCCTCAAAGCAAGAAAACAGTTTATTGTGAAGCAAAATACGAGTGACCACAGCCTAGAAACACAGATTCAGTCTGTTGCCAAACGCCGTATTCCAATAGGGTAGTGGCTTCATGGAATTTCTGTAGAAGCGGGACAAAGACAGTCATAAACTGACACACTTTTCGGATGCATCCGTGAGTATGAGCTGGGTTGGGGGTGGGGAGGTCGAGCAAACTGGGAAAAACTCTGCTGTGAGCCTCAGAACCGGCTGAGGACATTCTTTTGTTTTTTGTTTGGTGGAAACTAGGGGTCTGTTTGAACGTTCCAAGTCTAATGGGCATCCAGACGATAGGTCACGTACCGAGGAGGGAAGCTGGTTTCTCATTCACAACTGCAGCCCTGGCTGTCGGCATACAGCCGCAAGGCTTCGGTCCTAACACAATGCAAGCTCCCGGACTTGGAAGCTCAGCCTGTGGGAGCCTGGAGTTCGAGACCATCGACAGGAAGGGAGCCATTTCTTCTCTATCCATAGTTTCTGTATGCACGGAGCAAACTACGCTAAGCGCTCTGGGACACTTGCAGCTCCCTGTGAACACCAGTCCCCCGATGCACATGCCAGGGTGTCGGATGAGAAGCCCCCTCTGGGGTCTTGGCCATCACGGTGCTGGCTGCTCATTTTTGTGAGGACCGAGTAAGGGAATCGTGGCCTTTCGTTGGCCCGGTGAGTCTGATGAGCTCTTGGTTCAGGTTTTCAGGAGAAGGTTCTAATGTGCCTGTGTACACAGAGTCCCAATTTACCCGGTCAATTTAAGGGGTAACACCCTTTCTGCTCGCAGTAGTAAGACACAGGGTGCCATCTGTGTGACCTCCCTGGTATATGGGCATCCTCCACCCTGGAGGCCATCAGAAACCCACTGTTTCTTACAGTATGGAGTGACGGAGGGTAGGCCGTGTTCTGCTTGTAAGAGGGAGCACAGAGGGGCTCTCTGACTTAAGAAGCTTGAGGTAAGTCGAACGCAACTCACTCAACCAGTCCATCAGCCTGTCCCCGTGGTGGCCCTCTGTAATCCAGTTATCTCTCTGTGACACAAGTCTCCATTGGGCCCTCTTGAGTCCTCAGAGCTTTGTCACACAGGAAACCATACCTGTCAAAGGTCAAACGTCAAACGTAGCCGGGAGGGAACAATCCAGTTCCTCTGGGATTTACTTAATCATACACAAAAGTATTTGAGGCCGAGCTCCTGGGACTGAGACATAAAAACTTGTTCAGCAAAAGGAACTTTCATTTTCGCTCTGTCAGGAGGCTGGGGAACCAGGAAGCCATGGCCACAGGAGCAGAGGCCGAGCCTTAGGAAGCTATGTCACGCCTGTGGCCAGGTCCACAGGTAATCCGAGAACATGCATATCCTACATGAGACCTCCTGCTAACTACAGCTGGAGAGGAACCAGGGCTCCCACCTTGCTGCTGCGGGGAACAGAAAGGCCTCCGAGCATGGAAGGAGAAGACGCTCCCCGATTTCCTCCTCCAGATGTGTTACGAGTGCGGCTGTTTGGATGCGTACTGACCTGGAGGAGTAGAGAGAAGTGTAAAGTACAGAATTCAGATTCCCGCCTTTTTGATGCAATACGGCAGCTCCTGTAGTGTCTGCTTCCAGGTGTTAGTTAGCCAGGGATCTCAGCTCCTTGTAGAACTCCTGGAAACATCCAAGAGGTTGCTAGATTGGCTGTCCTTCTAATGAACTGTCTGCGTGGTTGTGTGTGGGAAGATGAGGGAGGGAAGCAGGGAGGGAGAGAAAGGAAGCAAGAGACAGAGACTGAATTCACGCATCCGCCACGCTAGAAAAAGTATTCAGTAACGAGATGTGCCTTCAGGCCTGGGAGATTTGAGTGAGGAAAGTCTCTTGCAGGCTTGTGTGTTTGAACACTTGGTCACCAGCTGGAGGTGCCTTTTGTGGAGGTCATAGAACCTTCAGGAGGACAGGCCGTGATGGAGGAAGTATGTGGCTGGGGGGGGGGTTGAATGTTTATGACCTTGCTGTATTTTCCAGGCTTCTTAGCTTCCGGTGCACAGACAAGATGTGATTTCTCTGCTCCCTGGCCATGCCTTTCCAGTACCAACGGCATTTAATTCTCAGAAACCATAAAATAAATCCTTGCTAAACGTTCATTTTCGTATTTTAGTATAGCAACAGAAAAATAGCTAATGCAAGCCCCAAAAGCAACGCTTTTAAATGTTCCTTTAGAAGAGAAAGACAGACAAAAGGAATCTAAATTTCACCCAAAAGCCTGGCTTGTTTTTCATATTTGTTTTGGGTGACTTGTTACTATCTGTGCTGTCAAAACATGTTTTAATTATTAGTAGCCTATTTTTTCCCTCCAAAGTATTTCTTTGACAACCTTAAAAATAGATGGAATATTAGCAAAGTTGTGAATTAAAGATTTTTTGAGATTAGTCTTGAAAGTCAGTGGGAAATGCAGACAATTTTTAAAGTAAAAATAAATAAATAGCAACCCCAGTGATAAGAACAAAGAAAATGAAAAATTTAAACATTACCTGCATTCAGACCAGCTTCTGTGCTGAGTATAACAAAAAGAAAATCTGGGGAAGTGCAATTCTTCTTGAGGGTAATGGTGGACGTAGAACTTGGTGATGATGACACGACCCAGACAGAGAATGCCTTTGCCATGGGGATGCTTCCTGGTAGCAAGACACTGATGAGGGTCTGGCCAGCGTGTTTGCAGCCTGAAAACTGCATCTAGGGTCTGGTAAAGATCAGAGGCCTCAAGAAGTGCTTCGCTCTAGGTCGTAGCCTGGAGGAAAGAATAAACCAGAAGTCAGTTGCGGTCTGTGTGGGCTGGAACCCAGTTTCGAGTCATCTGACTAGTGCAGAAAAGTTCAATTCATGAAACGGGGTAATAAGATGTGGGTTGCGAGCGCATCATTTGCCTGGCTGGACAGCGTCATCAAATCATTACACACACACACACACACACACACACACACACACACACACACACACACACACACACGTTTTCAGACGCCCCCGTCTGGAACATTCTCGAGATGTCCAGCGGCAGGAAGAGATCAGGAAACCTCGGATGAAGGTAAACAGAAAAAAAAAAAAACAAGCATCAGAAACAGACACTTGGGAGTGCTGTCCTGGGAACATTTGGACACAGGTGGTTGAGGCAGGGAAGCGTCGGCAGGGAACTTAAGACCATTAAGTAAATAACGTTTAAGAGGTATGCATTATAAAGGAGCCAGACAGAAGTTCTCAACGGAAATGTGCGGTGACTGAAGTTGATAGCTGGGTTCACAGCACAAAGGACAGCTTTAGCTGCAAAACACAAAACTGTGGCCCGGAGATGGCTCGGTGGGCAAAGCGGTTCGCTGCCAGGGTCCAGCCACCCGCGTTCCGCTCTGCGGCTCACACAGCAGGAGGAGCAGACAGACTCCTACACGCTATCCTCTGACTCCCACCTGTAAGCCACGGTGCACCTGTGCCTTCCTCCACTAAATAAAAGTGAGTTAAAAAAAAATATGATAGGGCTGCTAGCCCCCAAGTTGCTCTCGAGGGAACACTCCCAACAATCCTGAAACAACCAAAACAGGAAAGGAAGGAAAAAAGAAATAAAAGTAGTGGTGTGCTATAATATGTGCTATCTTTATTTGCTGGAAACGGAGAGAAATGTTTCCCTAGAATTCCACGTCCAGTGAAAATACAGAGTAAACACAAAATTAAAAGAAAAAAAAACACATAGTAAAAAGAGACCAAAACTCTAGAGCTGTTCAGCTGTAGTCTAAAAAGACTCACCAAAGAGAAGGAAAGACAGCCTCGTGGAAGGTCAGAGTTCAGGGAAGAGCTCAGAGGCGACAAAGGCAGGAAGCATGGCGGTGTGCATGTGTGAACAGGAGCTCCTGCAATGCTCTGGGGCTCGGCATGGGGGCATGGGAGGTCATTTGCAAGCGAGAGGGAATTTAAATAGTGCCAGAGTCACCCCAGTACTCTATGGCCCCACGGGGAGGAAGCAGGTACCGGAAGGGGACTCAGCCCTTTCCTCAGGTGAGGAGATGGACAGCAGAGTCTGAATGGGCTGGGGCGAAGAACTTCCCCAACAGAAGGCTGGGGAGGGGAGAAGGAGCTGCAAGAGAAGGATGCAGGATATCTTCAGAGTCAACGTGGTGGGTCAGCCTGGTCTACACAGCGCATTCCAGGCCGGCCGGGACTTCACTGGGAGACTTTGGCTCAATTAAGAACATCTGTTAGTCTTGCAAAGGACATGAGCCGAGGGACCAGTCCCCACCCAGAGGGACTCACAACTACCCATAAGGCTGGTCCCAGGGATCTGATGTCATCTTCTGGCCTCTGAGGGCTCCGGGCACCCACAAGATGAACACGCATACATATACAGGCACTACACATACACGTAAAATACAGACAAATAAATCTTAAAAAAAAACAAAAACAAAAGCGTGAGACTGCCAAGTTCAGCCAGAAGGCAATGGGCATTCTGGATTCTATATGTTTGTTTTTCTGATACTTCCCTCTGTTTTCTTTTTCTTTCTTTCTTCCTTCCCTTCTTTCTTCCTTCCTTCCTTCCTTTCTTTCTTTCTTCCTTTCTTTCTTCCTTCCCTCCTCCCTTCCTTTCTTCCTTCTTTCCTTCCTTCCTTCCTTCCTTCCTTTCTTTCTTTCTTTTTAAGTGACATGTAAGAAACATCTCAACAAAAGTGATTTCATCTTGATTTATCTTTGGCAAATGATTCTTGACATACTTGTCTAGCATGTTGCAAAACCCAGGCTGTAAGTTCTTCACGTTTAAGCCTTATGATCGTAATCTTTTTAAATCAGAAGGATTTGGCAGACGGGAGTTGAAGGGTCTGCCAAATCCAGATGCACGCTTCCCCTCTCCACTCCCTGGCGACTAACTCAACACAACTTTGGATGAAAATATACCCCAGTGCCAGCGGTCCATGTGTTAGCTGCTCTTCTGTCGAGATAGTCCTGGTGCCCGGGGCTAACAGGTCGGAGATCTCAGTGCCAAACAATGCTACAGTTTCTATATTGATTCTCTTTCTCAAAATTAATCTTCTTTCAGACTCCTGAATATTTTATGTATATTGCTTGTTTTGCTGCTTTTACTCTTCCGTAAGGACAATGGATGGAGACATGGATACGTTATGCTCTGCCCCACGATTCTCCCAGGACTGCAGAGCTCTGATATACTCTATGAGTGCATTTTCACACAAAGACCTGCAAATATCAACAATCAAATTAAACTTTTATTTAAAAGAAAATACCAAGTATAATATTATAAACAAAGTAATTTTTTAAATGTTTAAGTCTTCTATTTAAAAAAATCCAGAAATCATTATATTTTATTTATTAAACACATGAGTATCTATAGGGATTATTTTGCAAAAGTTGGATTATGGAGTAGAAACATTCATTTTATTGCATCAATTATAGTTCTTTTTTTTAAACAAACTCATTTGTTTTGTGTGTGTGTGAGTGTTGTGTGTGTGTGTGCCAAACTGTACCAACTGCACATGTTGATGTCTTAAGATAATTTGTGAGACTCAATTCTTACATTCCATCACGTGAGCTCCAGGGATTGAACTCAAGGTGGTCAAGGATAACAGGCATCTTCATATGTTGGCCCATCTTGCAGGACCACCCTTTATTTGTATAAGCATCTATAGTCTAATGAATTCTCCTGTGGCTACACTGTGTTTTACCTAATCGTTTCTCCAGTCAACACCTGAGTCATTCATTATACATGACACAGCAACTAATGTATGCATTCATATCTGCTTTTTTCTTGAGTTATGGTCCTAGAAGAAGGTTACCTCATTAAACGCTGGTGAAGTCTTGATGGATGGTGTCAAATCATCCTCAGTACCTTTCAACATCTTCAGGTCCACCAAGCCACACCACACGCAGAGGTGGGGGTCTCTGCAGATAAATCAATAATGTGACTTCACTAGAAGTGATTTGCTCCACCAGGTTGGCCAAGTGATCCTCTCTGGGTTCTTGGAACTCATTTTTCTAAAGTTTTACTTCTAATAAGCAAACAGGAAAATCATGGCAGCTCTGATGCTGAGATAAATGACCTCCTATGGTCATATCTGTGTGACATAGTCGCTTTCTGGATGAAGATAATAGTTTTGACATAGTTGTTTTCTAGATGAATATCATAGCTGTGTGGCATAGTCGCTTTCTGGATGAAGATCATAGCTGTGTGACATAGTCATTTCTAGATAAAGATAGTAGCTGTGTGACATGGTCATTTCCAGGCGAAGATCATAGCCATATGACATAGTCATTTCCAAGATGAAGACCATAGCTGTGGCATAGTCGTTTCCAGGTAAAGATCATAGCTGTATGACATAGTCATTTCCTAGATGAAGAAACTGTCTTAGAAAGTCTGACCTGTGGTCTGTAACAGTCTTACTTTGCACAGAATCAACAGGGTTGATGCTTTGTAATAAATTATTTATGTTTCACTTATTTTGGGTTCATAGCAACCATTTTAAAGTCAATCGCCCAAGACCTTTTCCTATGTTATTAAAAATTTCCAACATTTCCTTTAATGTTCAAAACTATATCATCATTTTATCAATTCCCTAAAAATGACATTTTGGTTGGTATTGGATTAAATTCAAGAAAGTAGTATTATGTTTTTAAGCAACATGTCAAGAAGTCCAAACTGAAAGAGATTTCCTTCAGCATGGCTTCTTCACCTCTCTTAGGAAGACTTATGTGTGTGGGGGGAGGGGATGAGATTTCAAATTCTCATTTAACTGACCATATGCAGCACCGGTTTGCATAGATTAAATTTGTTACATTTTAGTGAAATTGCTTTTCTAACCTTATTTTTTTTTAGATTTTTCCAAATAGATATGTACTGGAAATATTTTTTAATTTCTACTATTTCTTATCTATATTTCTTGAGCAATGTGAAATAGCAATTATTCCCTCACCGTATTGGGATTATCTCTGGTATTTTGCCTTGAAGTAAAAATTGTCATGTGTGTGTGTGCGTGTGTGAGTGTGTGCATGTGTGTGAGTGTGTGTGTGAGAGTGTGTGCATGCATGTGTGCGTGCGCGTGCGTGTGATACCATTACCGGGAGTGTACAATGAGTGTGGCATCCCACTTCGACTCAGGCACTCTCAGGTTTTAGTTTCCAGTGTTGTCGTGTGTAGTTTAACCAGGCATTAGGAACAACTATCTACTCCACAAAAGGCACAGATCCTGTAGCTTTGAAATCAAACATACAAATTTGTAAAAGACTTTGAACAAATGGTGTAATATCTTATTGCCTAATTAACTTTAAAATTCATCTCCCTGAACATCTCAGTCTTCAGAGATAAGATTATAATTGGCTTTTCCTAATTAGATGTATCCCACACGCCATTATTTTCCATTACACATGCTGGTTCTACCTCCCACTACAGTTTATAGCATTCCAGACCAAGACTCAATAAAGTCTCGCTTGGAGTTGGTAGGCAGCAATCCCCCAAGCCAAGAACATGAACGCACCACCGGCTCCACGCCCTCGGTTGGGACCTGGGAATTTCCCTGAAGGCTCTGTCCTGAGTGCAGTCCTTCCTGAATGGAGACAGCCTGATGTTGAGTCTGCCCAGGGCTTCAAGGAGCTAGGATCTTTGGAGGATAGAAATCTACGGGTAGAGCGCACCATGTGCGTCATTGGATACTCACCCAAACCTACTCAGGATGTAGGAGTGAATCCATCAAGGATGGGTTTGGGTGCTGCTGGCGCGTCGGTGTGGGCTGATTGACTAATGCA